TCTGTACGCGTACCCCTTGTTGCAGAGCACTACCAAGCATTCATGGGCTGTGAAGACTGCGACGCAACTAGAAAAACCACGATACGTTATCTTTGCCTTGCAGACTGGTCGACAGAACGTCATGTCTAAAGATGCTTCTTTATTCGATGAATGTAAATTAACCAATGTGAAACTTTATTTAAATTCAGAATTTTATCCGTACGACGACTTAAATCTAGACTTTGATAAAAACAGATACGCCATCCTGTTTGATATGTATGCTCGTTTTCGTAAAACTTATTACGGATGCACAAACGATGAAACGCTGTTAACCGTAGGTTCATTTTTGGAGAATGGACCTTTGGTAGTCATTGACTGCACGCGACAAAACGAGTCCGTCAAGAGCGCTACCGTGGATGTGCGAATAGAATTTGACTGTAAAGAAAATGTGCCGGAGAATACTACAGCCTATTGTCTTATCTTACACGATCGCGTGATTGAATATTGTCCATTATCCAACGTTGTGCGCAAAATCACATAAATTGTCGCGTCTGCAAATATTCTCATCCGAGATAAAAACTGTGACATTTCGTGATGAGGACACAGTTTCGATAGATTACTCGTCATGATTGTACCAACGTTTGCAGATCTGCAAGGATTCACCGTTGGAAAGAGATTTATCGTAAAAGAAGTGGCTGTCCTGAGAAGAGGTACAGTTCATTCGCATTACATTTTTGCGAGTCCCATGCCATGAAATTCTTTAACAAAATTTGACAAGTCTGGCGCTTCCTGGTTGATTGCTTATCACCATGGATTGAGATGGGAAGACGGGATGATTCCGTACAGCATGGCAAAACGCTTGATTGCAACAGCTGTGTTTGGTGAAGAGGATGATACCGACGAGGCTATCGTGTACGTTAAAGGACATAAAAAACGAGAATGGCTTGGTGATATGCTCGATGCGAGAGTAGTCATTGAAACTCTGGATGCCGATTATGAAGATGTAGTTTCTTTAAATAATCTAAGTGTTATTAATATTATGCGCTGTGGAAAACATGTTAAGAATTGCGCATTACAAAATGTATTTAAAATATATAACTGGTGGTCGCACCATCAAATAAAACAATAAAATGTATAATCTTAATATTTTAATCAATAAAATGTGAAATTTTTAAAATTATGTTTCTTTCCCTTTCCTTCGTGACATTGCCATGACATTGAGATGCGGCGAATGCTGACACGTTCATTTTTTATCTTGACTCGTATAATATATCTAACTAATGAAGGTCGCGAAAGAATATGATTTTCTTTGTAGTTAAATTAATAGCTGTTTGATAGAACAGACAGGTGGTTTGACAGGCTGTTTGATTGAACAGACAGGGAGTTTGACAGATCAGTGGTATCGGTTCGATTGGCGGTTTGATAGAACAGCGGTATCGGTTCCATAGAACAGGGGTATCGGTTCGATTGGCGGTATGATAATGATGGTTTCATATTATGTGTCTTCGTGACATTGCCGTGACATTGAGATGCTGCGAATGCTGACACGTTCATTTTTTATCTTGACTCATATAATATATCTAACTAATGAAGGTTGTGAAAGAATATGATTTTCTTTGTAGTTAAACTTATAGCTGTTTGATAGAACAGACAGGTGGTTTGACAGACTGTTTGATAGGCGGTTCGACAGATCAGGGGTATCGGTTCGACAGGTAGTTTAACAGGCGGTTTGACAGACGGTTCGATTGAACAGATCAGCTGTATCGGTTCGATTGGCGGTTCGATATTCCGTAAAAGCGTTTATGTATTTAAGACTGTTCCAATTTCATTTATATTCTTTATAGCCGCTATCATTTCGGAGGAGCGTGTGTGTGATATAACATATGTATCAATATCATCCTCACGGCATTATCAGGTAGGAGAAATAATTATTTCTTTGGCTTGCATTTTTACTCGCGGGTTCCCGTGGACCCTTGAGTTAGTTAACGTTGAGTAGTCGTGAAGATGA